CCCCCCGCGTCCTATCCAAACAACATGGGCACCCACATACCTCCTCGCCCGCCACCGAGCTATCCAAATCCGACGCGCGGCTCAGCCAACTCGAAAATCTCCGATCGGAGCTCCGCAACGGCCATGAATCTCACAGCAAGGTCACTCCCGAAATGATCGAAAACTTCCTGAACTTGCTGGTGGAAGAAGGGCTAGAAAGCAAATTGGCGGAAGCGTACGAGCTGGCGGCTACAAACTATAATTATTTGGGCAAGGACAGGATGGCGAAGAGGTATGCGGATAAGGCGGTGCAAGCTGCGAGAATCGAATATGGACGCGACGCGAACGATGTGGTGGCTATGAGAATCATGGCGGGGGATGTGAGGGGGCATTGGAGTTTTGGGTTTAGGAGTAAGGGTAAGGGGAGGGGTTAAAAGGCGTAGGGGCGAAGGGGATGGGTTAAGGGGATGGGGGTAAGGGGTGAAAGAGGGGGAAAGGGGGAAAGGGGGGAAATGAGTGGTTGTGTTGATAGAAGGAAGGAAGAAGGCCTGGGAGGAGGACGGGAAGTATCAAGAATATTTCCGGCCTCGATGGGGAGATTAGCGTATTTGTATGGAATTGTCGGTTTTGATGTTTTGTTGCGATCATGGTCTTGGCGGGGAATAATCCAGACTTTGCACCCTCCTCACTTGAACGCCATGGCATTCCCCCTCGACGGGAACCTTGGACGCACCTTCACATCCTCGCGACTTTCTTCGAGCGATGAAGACTAGAGGCGTTAGGGCTCAACCCTTTCTGTCGCAATGACAAAGTGTAATAATGTGGATGCGTTGTTGCAGAGTTCCGCCATTTTGTTTGTTTTCGTCCGACTAACTTGTCTTGATACATCATCAGCTGCTACTATTTACCAACATGAAGTGTCTTTTCCACCTCATCCCTGATTAGATCATTCACTCTAACAGTTTTCTTGCAAACTTGCACCCAAGCCGAGGAAGAGGCGCACTACACGGCTCAGAGGCAGCTAAGAGAACGATTCCCCACAAATAGAAGATGCTTGTCCGTTACTCGGTGTCTATTGGAACTTGAGCCTCCCCCTCAGCATGCACACGCTTCAGGAACTTCTCTCCGGTGGAACGGTCGTCGTCGGATTCCATATCGGAACCGTCCTCGTCGCAACAGTCACGGCCAGCTTCAATGTCGTCGTCGAAGAGAGTCTTGTTCGAGTTGCTCCGGCTGATGGTGACGACAGCGACCGGGGGCTTGGCCATCTCGCCTCTGCGTGTTGAGGAGACCGTTGGTGAATTGTTGACTCTTGATCAGCATCGGACACTGCTCACCCACTGTAGTTTCGTGGTCGACAGGCCCATGTTCCGTAGCAAGTTCTAGAGCGATAACCCCTAGCACCAGATATCGATGGCCGTGTTGTTTGCGAGGTGATCGTTTGGGGTTTTGTTGGAGGATGTGGGTATATGTACTAGTCCCCGAGCGCTTACTCCCATCCCCAATTCCTGTGTGACAGGCTGGTTGGATGGCGTAGGTGCGACAATGGCAGAAAACCGCCCTCCCCTCGTCCAATCGCATGTACCCCCAGCTCTCATAGACGTCGTACGTTTGAACCCGGTAGCTGTAAGTCCACACACTTTTTTTGGCCTTTTTTCTCTTATTACCTTTTTCGCGCTTTTCTTGGTCGTTCTTCTGATTGATCGCTTTTGAGGTACATGTAGTCACACGCTTGCTCAGTTGGTCCGTTGCGATTGCCGTCCTTGCGGGTTCTTCTGTTTTTTTTTCTCTTGCTCACAAGTGTTGCGGACTCGTGGTGCACGCCATGTTCGAGAGAGGGAGAGACTGGGTAGGAGGAAGAAGCGCTTGATTACCGTATTTTGCGGTGGGACGCCGGGGTTTCTCAACAACTGCACTCTTGATTAGATTGTATTGCATGGCGTATCATTCATTTGCTTCTCCTGCTCCTACGCGCTCATTGCTCAATCTTTCATCAGTCTCTTCTTTGGCTTCCCAATGGTCAAGTACCGTCCGAAGTCGTCTCAGCGTGTTCGGTCTCTAGACGCAAACGAACAAGTGTCCAGGATATGTTGGTGAACAGTAATGTACCAGTCAAGATCTACAAAGCTCAGATCCGTTATCATATTTCTCAGTCTCTCTTGTAGGGGCACCCTCACGCAGTTCCTCGTCATTCTGCTACTGAATCAAAACAACCGGAAGCGAGGAGTAGTTTGTGGTATCACCAATAGCGAGAAGAGGGAAAGTCGTAGCTGGACTTATTGGGTACTAATATGAGGTTTACACCCACATATCAGGCTCTCTTTTGACGATATCCATGAGCTTGGTTCAAATGTCAGCGACAGTCAGACTTCAAGTTGTGTCTTCCCCATCCCAAGATCCGAATCCCTTCACTTGGAATACACTTTATATTGAACATGCACAACAAGAACCTCGGTCAGCCATGCTGTTCGGAAATCACAACCTCTGTTATCTGATCCTGAACACAGGTTCAACATCATGGCAGTCCCAACCTTCACCGCACTGCGGTTTCAGGTTCAGAACTGTTCGGCTGTTCATCCTATCAATTCACAGTTCATCCTGTCGCTTCACTGCCATTCTATTGTGCATATTTAAATCCTATTGACATTCATCCCGTCGTTCCTCAACTTTCCCCCATCCCATCAAACTCCGCACACAATCTGAATGCGACAATTCTATTTCAAGAAGCCTCAACCCCTCGACAAATAATCGTCTCAAATATATTCAACACATAAAAACCTCGACAATTCCCCCTCATGCTAAGATTTCTTTCCCCCTCAACACCCTTTTCGAGGCTGGCAACGACCTCCCTGCAATCCCTCTTGCGATCTTCCCCATCACCTCTCGCGACCTCGACACATCAACTATTCCCCTCAGCATTCACAGCCACTTCCTCCTTCCAGTACACCTTCCGACCTCGAACTCGACCTTTTATTCTCCTCCTCAACCTGGGCTCCTTCAGCAACCCAGCCGCCTTGTCTTGGATCAGAGACATCCTCAACTGCACGATCCCCTGGCGCTGGCGACCTTCTGCGCTCTTCTTGCGCCGCTTCTGGCGACTTCACGGAGAGAAAGTCTTGCGCATTTTGCTGGCGGGTTTTGTGCTTGCGTTCTTGGTGGTTGCGATCAAAGTGTCGTCGCGGGTTCTTTCCAAGGAACAGAAACAACAACAAGAAGACGAAGACGAAGAGGAGGAAAAAGAAGCTGGACAAGATGGCGACGACTCTGCCTCAACCTGCTCGTCAGAGTAGATTTATCTACGCGCCGGAGGTTCATAGGTCTAAAGAGAGTAAGTCACTATTCCCCCCTTTTCTCACCTTGCCCTCAAGCTTCGAGTTACAACTGTCTAATACTCTTTCTCAAACCAGGAACCAAAGCAACTCTCACTTCCATCATCACCCCCTTCTTCGAAAGTCTCCATTCCCTCTACAACGGCCCGCGTTACGGTTTCCCGCCCGGAGAAATAGGAGTCGCCCTCCGCAACAGCCTCGACCTCGTCCAAAGCCATTACATCCGCCGTCTCCTTGCGCATTTCTTCATCTCCCCAGCCAGCGAACATCGTATCGCAATCTTAAAACTCCGCCAGGCATTCCAGTCCTTGGAGGATATCTTTATGGAGGAAGCCATTGAGATCGAAATGTGCGGACATCTAGCCCCGACCAACAGGGACTTCCCGACCATTCGAACCTTCCCACCCAACAACTTCTTGACCAACGACAACAACCTCCCGACCGTGCCAACCGTCCCATCCAGCAACACCCTCCCCACTCTCCCAAGCAACAACTTCCCCAGCATCCTCACCACCACCAACAACTCCAACCTCAACATCAACAAAGCCATCAAAGCAGCAACCCGCGCCCGCGCCCGCGCCAAAAAGCACGATACCCGCTGGCAAGACATGCTCGCCTTCATGGCCGTTGAGAAAACCCTGAAAGACATGGAAACCTTGTGGCCCGAGATGAGCCTGGAGAATTTCATGGAAGTGATGACGGACTACATGGTTTTTGTGCTGAGTCTGAACTTGGGACAGGTGGAGAGGGAGAGGGAGGTTAGGGAGTTGAGGAAGGTTGAGAATGTTGAGGGTCAAAAGGGTGGGAATATGAATATGAAGAGGATGAGGAGGAAGAGTTGTTTTTCTGACGGGAGGCAGAGGCTTTGGGGATCAGACTGGAGGTCTGGAGGTCTGGAGGTAAAACAGATGGGTGCATGCCAGGCAGGTGTTGAGCGATAGAGGAACAGGGGAACAGGGAGGGACATGAAATGAAATGAAATGAAATGGGTTTGGGGCACAGGCATCAACTATTCTGGCGGGTCTGGAATGGAGGATGGAGGATGTGAGGATGGAGGATGGAGGATGGAGGAATGGAGGATGGAGGATGGATTACGACGAGATATTATCTGCCCCTGGCTATGGGACTCAGGAGCAACGGAAGGCATTGCATCGCATAGCATGGGCATTGGGATTCGGATTCGACAAGTCATTAACACGGAAGGGAACAACGGGTTTCGAGATACTATCGTCAACTGGCATGATGGGCTAAGCATTGCGAGGCGTACCGGTTCAGTGAGAGAAAAAGGCATTCAGATATTCCCGAGTGACAAGGCATTGGCAGCTGGCAGCATGGAATTCTATGGTTAGGTAGACAGCGGTTAAAGATACAGAAAGAGGTTTGCTTAAATGGGGTTAAATTACGAGTTCGTGACATACCAACCTAAAGTGACCAAGTGAAATGCACCGCCACAGTGTTCACTGACTGTGATATGCAATATGTCAATGTGAAATGTCTCGGGCCGGCAACTGAATCTTGAGGTGCTTCGAAGCAAATAGATGGCTCTGGTGGGAACGTGGAGGACTTTGGGGGGCAGAATAGAGGAAAGGTATCACAGTTCCGGGTAGGCCAAGCCCGAACGATTACATCGTTCATGAGCTCAAACACTGCTGGGACACTGCGCAGGCATAGGTTCAAAGCCAGCTATACAATCTCAAGTAAACTCAAATTCAATACATTCACGACCTTTGCCTTCCACCGCTTTCTTGCTTTTTCACGTTCGTCATTGCTGACTTTTACAGGTTTGTTTCAACATGCTATCCGAAGGGGCAGCATTTACACCTGCCCCTTTCAATATACCCTAACCCCTGCGCGAACGATGCTTGGGACCGCCAGGTCCGGGCTTCGCGACTGGCAGACTGCAGCTGTCCGCAGCTGGCCCCACGGGAACGACTGTTACCCCGCCGCCAAATGCCCCTCAGACAGCGCCAGTCTGTCGCGCTGTCGCGAATGTGTCACTACGCTTGCCAGTGCTGGAGCTTTTGATTCTTTGAGTTCATTTTCCGTCTTCCATTTTCCGGCAAACATTCTCGCACCACGTTCCATCTTTACCCCGACTCAATTGCATCTTTTGCGGGCATAACTTACGCATCATTACACCGCCAGTAGCGGCAGGACTACGGCGCACGAGATCGGACATGACGGCGCACAACGACAGCGAGGGAGGGGCGCGAACCCAAGTATCGCCATCGCAATCGCAATCCCCCAGCAACGGCCACAAGTCACCTACCAACACCAAGTCGTATCACGAACACCGCGGCGAACCCCTCGAAGGCCCCGCTCTCGAAGAATGCATCGAAGCCCTCATAGAAGAATGGACGACATGCGTCGATGAGCTCTCCCAGCTCCATACAAAGGCCGAGTCAGCCTCGAAGCCGATCCGCGGCCTCTACACCCTCCTCAAAGTCCAGCAAAGAACCCTCGACAAGCTCAAAGCAAAGAAAGCGTCGCAACCTCCTTCACCCCCTTCCCGTCCCTCGAGCGAATCGAACAAAGATGACGACACCGAAGAACCGAAACCGCTCTTCACCCCCGCCCAGTATTTCGGCATGCGCAGTTGCTGCTGGAACGACCGGTGGTCCGTCATCAAAAAGTGTCGCGGCCTCGTGGCTATTAACAAGGAGTTCGCGAGGAGCCCCAAGCAGCCCGTGCCTAATGGACATGGGTGGTTGTCCTACAAAGATAAACCCCTGCTGGAACGGCCGATTGCTGTTGACGGTGTGATTGATAGCGGAGCGACGTGGTTGAAGTTTGTTTCCATCTCGCCCAAGACGCTGGCTTACCAAATCGCGGTGGATGGATGGGAGAGCGATGATGAAGAGGAGGATGATGATACGGCATACAGCGATAACGACGATCAACACAATGGGAACGGAAATGGGAACGGAAATGGGAACGGGATCGCGGGTAGGAGCGGCGTCTCGGAAGCACTGGGCAACACCGAGTTTGCCGAGTCCATCAAAAAGGTCGTTCTCGCGGCGAGGTGGAACCATTGCCATCATATACACCTTCTGTTACCCGGCCTGCGCAATGGCGAGTCCGAGCCCGTGGACAGGATGCTACGCTACATTCGCGAAAGAATTGGCGGCGATGACGTTTCTGTGACCGTCAGTTGCGCCGACAGCCCTCTTCTCTCCGATGCGCCGCCACCCCTCGACATCGCTTTGTCCGCCCTCGTCGACGAACGCGATCCCCTCGTAGCCGATGACTGCGGCCGAATCACACCCACCGCGAACCTCGACCCGAGTGTGCTTGTCTCGCTGGTGTCAGACTTGCATCACGGCCTCGTCGATTTGCAGCCGACTTACCTTCAAAAGGTGATTGCCAGGTCGGTATCGGACCACACGACGGACAGTAATGAGCTGGTGCCGCGTGAGGATATTCTTGCCAAGGTGTGGTACCCGGCGCTGAGGGGAAAGAAGCTGGTGACAACTCGCCTGGGTGCTCGGTACTTCAGGCAACTGATCGCGTCGATATCTACACACTCGGAAGAAGTGCGCGCTTCGTTTATCTTGCCTCCTGACGCGCCGCCCGCTCTCCTCAGTCCCGAAGGTAGCTCGGAACCGCTCGCGACAGCCACTTGGACCCCCGAACAACGCCGAGCAGAACTGCAGCGGTGGTCGGCCGTTCCTGTCCCCGATGATCTCCACCTCCCGATTGAAATCGTCGACGACATCGAACTGGAACAAGTCTCCCCGCTCATAGCAGAGGGCAAACTGCCGCCCATGGCCCTCGGCGTCGCCAACGACTTGTCAAGGCTGAACCGCTCCGTCTATCTCTACGGATGGGCGAAGCGTCTAACGACAATCACCGGCCATCGCGGCATCGAGCGTCAGATCCGCCTCTCGCTAGCCACCCATTGGACAGCGCCCGCCGATGACGACAACTCCCACTCTCATCGCAACGACACCAACGCCAACAGAAACAACAACGACATCCCTCCAGATATCTGGCACCGTCACCTAGGAGGTTATTTGATTCACAGAGACAAGCCAAGGGACTGGAGAGCGTTAATTGCTGAGTTCGATGAATGCAAGGACGGGAAGATACAGGATGAGGTGATAAAGTGGACGAGCCCTTGGACGACGTGGGGAAGAGGAATCAGCACTTATGGGCTGCCGGACACAAAGACTTGGGAGGGGATTGGGCATGCGGATAAGCAGAGTTTTGGAAGGAAACTGCAGACGAGGGAGGAGAGGGGACAGAGGAATCCTGGGAGGAAGGGTACTGAGGATGGCGAAGGGGAGCAGCAGGATATGGATGAGGAAGAGGAGCAGTCGTGATGTCGATGCGGTCTGGTGTGGTTGGTTATCTGATGGTGGTGCTGGCGATGGCGATGGATGATGGAATCGGGACTTCCTCTCCCGTCCGTCTGAGTCGCAAGCATCAGGCCCTGGCATATGCGGCCCTTGTCTGGAATGGAAGCAAAAGCAAGTACTAAACTCGACACACCTCATCTGGGATGTCCGCGCATCGTACAACGAACGACTGGATGAAATGAAGCAAGGGATGAGTACCTTGCCCGCACACCAAGCAAAGGAGCGACTGCCAGTGGGCGACGAGCACGGCAGTCGCAGCGAGCCGCTTTTAACCAGATCGCGAGATCGCATACCATGGGTCTTGGAAACTTTGAACATGAGATAACGAATAGCAATTGACCCAAACGTTGATTCCCGTCCATGATCAGCAGCCAACGATTCGCAAGGACCGTCGCAACAGCGAAACGAACCGCTACATATTCATTATGAAGATCCCGACAAGATCGCAATGATCACAGATCCGCGCCTTCCATCAACCATGGTTTTGGGAAACCATCTAGGAATTAGGAGAGGCTCAATTTGCTGGAAACTGGCTCTTCTACACACTAGCAAACAAGCCTTCATTCGGATCTTAATCTAGTGGTGGATCTAATTTCCCGTTCCCCCCTGGATGTGCTGGATTCGCTTGTCTCCCCCTGGCCTGGTGATGATTTCTCCCCCTTGCTGGCTGGTGTTTGGTTCTTGGCAGGCGGTTTATCCGCTAGAACATTGGATCTCCCCCTTCGGGTTCTGAATGGATTCGATTCCACCATTTCGCCCTCGCCGCCCTCCCACTGGGGCCGCTCAGGTGACAACTTCCACTTTTTAGTGCCAGGCACGCTGCAATGCACCCCCGGCCCGCCCCTTGTTTTTGTTGACGGATGTCCACGATGGCCCACGGTGGCCCACCGAACCATCAACTTGATCAGCTCTTGGCGCCCTTTTTTCCACGCCTCACACGCTATTCAACTCCTGCATGGTACCTGGATTTATTTGCCCTGGACCTGGACTGGACTTGTGCCTGACGCCTGTCGACATCTGTTTTGGCGCTCGCTTTTTTTTTTGTGACGGTCTCACGCGTCTCTCGATGGAGTCAAGGGAAATTCGATTGCTGGAATTAGCACACCGCGCAACTGGGCCGGCGTCGTTTGTCTGAAATGACCTGTAATCTCAGATGAGTCCGGGAGCCCCCCTTGAGCCCCCTTTTTCAGATATTCAAGTTTTATTTTATTACTTCGGTTCCCAGCTCATCCTTCCTTCTCTTCTTTCCTCTCTTGTTCTCTTCGTCCCTTTTGAACCAGTCCGTTCGTTTTACCAAACTACCAGCCATTCGCTTCTCCCTCCTCCATCAGGTCCTTCTTTACCAACCTACCTAATACCACCACCCATATAATACCATAATACCCACCAAATCAGCCAGAATGTCTGCCGAACAACAAGACCAGAGGCCCAAGTCCTCCGCTTCCTCCAAGAAGTCCGTCACCCGCAAGTCCGAGGACAACCAGCAACGGGGGCACCAACTTTCCGACGACGGCCCCGTTGCCCCAGGTGCCGGTGCCGCCGGTGGTAACGCCGATGCCTACCAGCAACTCTCCGACGACCAGCCCGAGACCTCTTCTGAGAACGGCGAGCAAAAGGCCGACAAGCCCAAGAAGGAGAACCCCCTCAAGAAATTCATCGCCTCGCTCAAGTCGCTCAACTGCGCCGGCAAGCCCGCCAACTTTGACAAGAAGGGCAACAAGGATGGCGGCGAGAAGAACGATGAGGACGACGATGAGAACACCCCCAACGCTAGGCCCGTGAGCCAGAGCTCGTTGGAGAGCAAGAAGGTCGTTACGGAGAAGAACGCGCCACAGATTGAGGTTTCGCCTTCGGTGGAGGATCATCATCATGATGGCAGCAAGGGGGATAAGGATGGAGAGGATGAGAAGAAGGAGGAGCATCACAGTGGAGAGAAGAGCCCGGTTGATGCGCCGTTGACGACTACTACTATTAGTGCTACGCCTCCTACTCTTTAGGTATGTTTTTTTTTTCAATCCTTGTGGAACGGTGTGGTATGAGAGGTTGAAGGGATGCTAACGAGAGATGTAAGGCAGATGCTGAAAAGCTTCAAGGATAGACGTATTTGAACCAGTCAGACGTTGATACTCGGAAATACAAAGACACAGATGCATGGACGGTGTTTCGGACTTTCGGTTGTTACACATACATTCGCATTGGTGGAGGTGGGCGTGTGGAAGATACACCGTACGATTTGGAAAGAAGGACCTCCCCTCTCGTTAACCGCGGGAGGGACGACGTCGGACGTGCAACGCACGGCGGCACGGAAGGGGGGGTGCGGAGTTTGCATTTTGTTGTCGTTTTTTTGCACCACCACTAAGGTACCTACTGGTTTACGCTTTCTTCCGTTTCGATACCCCATGGCATCTTTAAAGGTTAATGCCTGCTAATTAGCTCCTCGTTTCTGCAAAAAAGGACGGGTAGAGCAAGAACAGTATGCGCGGTTAATTTAATTCTTCAGTTGGTGTTTCAATGTCGTTTCTCGTCCTGGTTTTCCTGTGCATTCTTTTGTCGTAGTCGATGTTCATTTCTCGAATCGTCACTTCCTCACCTCCGGTCCTTGCCCCCTCCTCATGACCTATACGTAACTTCCCCTGTCTTCACATCCACCTTCCCCAGTTCCAACATTCCTTTCCAAATTCCCATCATCGACTTACCTCGTATCAACCTTCATCGGCAACCACACATACCTACTCCCCGATTCCCCCTTCGAATCCCACGCATCCCCCATATAGATATGTGTAGTCGTCTTTGTCCCCTTAATCGTAAGCTCAAACGTATTCTGCGTGTCACAGGTTGACATTGGCTATATAGTGTGCATTCCGAGTTCTGCCTTGCAAGCAGAGCATCGTCCTATCTTTTGTAGGTTTGGCCGTCTGGGCATGTGCACCCTAGCCTGTCATACTGCGACCCATACGTCTTCCCCGCTTCCGGCGCAATGTTGCTCCATCTTTGCCATGGCCCGTTGCTGGATGTCGACCAAAATACTTTGTCTGTGTTTTGGGACGGTTGATTTGTATGGTGTTATGATCCCCGGCCGCGCCTCGTCAAGAGATTGGATACCAAGTCCCCTCCTCCTCCTCCTCCGTTTCCATCGGCGTTCTTATCGAAGAAAATCCCTGTATCAAGAGTAACTGTAGTTAAATACTAGGCAGCAAGTGGATCTTTCTTTGCGTCCCATTCCCCCCCTTTTCCTCCAGTCACTTGTCCCGACTTCAATGACAAGATATATCGATCTTGTTGTCCATATACCCGAAACTCCTTTGCCCAATCGAAGCCTCCGGAGGTTGTTGGTAGTGCTCATTTGGGCCGCCAGTAATACTGCACAGAAGGAGCCACGGCCCCCTCAAACTTCCAGTTTAGCAAGTCTGCAGAGGAGTAGAGCATGGGAGTCTCGGCGCGGGAGGCGGATTGGCCTACTCAGTAGAATGTTGAGTTCAAAAGGAGGATGGAGCTGCCGTGGCAGTCTATGGGGTTTTTGGAGGTTGGAGGCTATCCATTGCACGGCGGCGGGGTGGGGGGTGGTGAAGTTGAAGGCAGAAAGGGCGAGGGGAGAGGGGGCGCATTGTAGTGATTTCAAGCGGTTCGGTAGGAAACATTCAGCTTTTACCTCAGCATTCATGAAAAAAAAAAAACGTTCAAGCGATAGGTTGAGCCTTATGTTGATCAAAACCGTCCAAGGAGTCGTTGGAGGTAGCTTGGGGCATGATGCATGCAATAGGTCCAATCGATTGAATGGCAGCAAAGTAAAATGGACCTTGGCATGCCATTGGGGGAATGGAGTACTTCCGAGTGATCCTCTCTCCACTTCATGCCGTACCAAGGATGAAGTGCCATTGTTGCTGTCAATTCAGCCGGAGTCGAAGTCACGGTACCTACCCGTCTTCCCCGGATTTGCGCCCAATTCAGTGCTGCCACTCGGGGAGTATGAGCCGGGATGCACATCTGAGTTTGCCTTGACAGAGCCCCCTTATTTTCCGAATGCTGTTCTACATATTAGCTCGAGAAAAACAATCCATTGCATTCATGAAAGAAAAAAAGAAGGTGGTCAACCAAGCCGTCCGCGGTAGACAGCGCATGAGAGCAAGTGCTCTTTGCTGTCGTTATGACTGCCATTGATAAGTGCGGAATGCAAACAAAAACATATCAACCAATGAATGGCGTGGTGGCAGAGTGGTCTAATGCGCAAGACTAGAAATCTTGTTCCTTCGGGAGCGTCTGTTCGAATCAGGCCCACGTCGCATGATGAGCACCAATAACTTCTTTTTTTCTTGTTTCTTTTTGATCGCGATCCTTCTTCTGCTATCTTCCCTTTTTTGCACTTGTTTTTGAGCATGAAGCGTTGAGCAGAAGGGAAAGGGTTAGGTTTCGAGTAGTGGGTCCATCAGTTAAGCCCCAGCTCCAATTGTTGGCGTGCTGTCTTTCTACTATGCTCTTGTTTACTTGCCCCTTTACCCTGCAGCTCATGCTGTCAGAGGTACCATGCTTCCCGCATCAGCCCCCCTCCCCCCCTTTTCCCCCCTCTCCAGGGCCTATGCTACTACATCTTAATATAACAATTAACAAACTCCCCCCCACCCATACCCAGACTTCCACATCTCTTATCACTCGGCACGTCCACATGCTGATCATTCCACTCAATCCACACATTATCCCAATTATCATCGCGCCCGCCCGTCGTGCACGCATGTCCACCATGAATCCTGACTTTCGCAGGCATGTCGGCGTGCTCAAAGTCGGTCCAGTGGTCGTCCCATCCTTTTTTTGTGGTGAGGGCCGCAGTCTAGGTTCTTGGAGAGGAGGAAGCTTTTGGTCTTGCCGCCCGAAATCATGACGTGCGATTTTACCCAGTCGATGGCGTCCCAGTCTGATGGGTCGGTGCCGGGTTTTTGCCGGTAGGCGCCGAGGGTTATGAGGTAGGTGTCGCTGTTTGCAATTGAGGGAAGTGTGAGATGGTGACTGGAGTTTGTGGTATAGGGAAGTGGTGTACGGCGGAAGAAGGAAAGGAGGTTTACCATGAGTAGACGCCCCAGGGGTCTTCCCATTGACAGGAATCGTCGCGGGCGTTGAGTTTGGATACGGGGGCATTGCTCTGGAGTAGAGGGGTTGCTATAGCGGCTTTTATGAAGAGGAGGCAAACCCAAGCGTTGAAGAGAATCATTATAAATGAACGAACGACTGCACAATGGTTTGAAAGTCGAGGTTGATCCAAGTTACTGTTCAGAGGATTGAAGACAGAAACTGTCTCGCCGGCTGAGACAGGTTTATAGTGGCTTGGCACCTACCTTATTCATCACTAGAGTTTCAACATGTGCCGACCAGACGGGAACGACATCTGCTTTTGTAGTTCAACATCACTCGAAGCAATCGTGGCCATAGCATCTTTGTACATTCTTCCTTATGTCCTACCCAGAAAGTGTTCCCCCTCTGGTGGTACCCGTGAGTTTCCCTCTCACAACGCAACTCAACTTCTTCCTTCTGTTCAGTCTCTCGGTGGAGAAGAAGTACCAAGCAGAAACATGTCTCAAAGCCCAAACATTGAACCCCGTCCAGCACTTAAACTCCGAGCCTCATCTCCGCGCCCCCCACGGGGTCTCACTGTCTCTAGTCTCACATAGCGGTTGAACCCTTTGGTTCCTGTCAAACTTTAACACAGCAGCACATTTTGCAATTCCTTCCACCAGTTCACATGTTCCTCTCTTTGACTTCCTTCCCCCCATTACCCCATTTCTTCTAGTCCCTGGTTTCCTGGGCATCTTATGCTCTCCCTCTCTGTCTTTCCCTCCATTCCCTCCACCCCCCACTCCCCTTACCCCTCCCCCCCTTGTGGCCCACAAGTCCTAACCCTACGGCTCCCTCCCAACAACACACCTAAACCCCAACCTCTTATCCCACTTACACCTCTCATCATCCGGCACATTCAGATGTTTACCAGCATAATTAACCCACGTATTATCATACGGGCCATTATACGCATTCTCATTACACGCATTTCCCCCATGCGTGTCGATCGTCCACGGCAGCACTGACGCAAAGGACTTCCATTGATCGCCGCTGCACTTCAATGCGGACTTGATCACTAGGATGTCCGTGGTGTTGACCAAGACGATGGTGGGCGTGAGGTACATGTACTTGTTTGTAACGTTGAGCATGGAGATGGTCAGGTAGTTTTTTGTTATTATAGAGACGAGGTTGGCGTGGCCTAGGATTATGGAGAATTGGTTGCTGTTGTCCAAAGGGGAGGGGTTAATGAGGATGACCAGAGATGGGAAGGGGAGACTGGGTGGGAGAGGGTTGATATTGACGTACCATTTCAGATCACCGTGACCGTCGGTCCATGTCACGCAGTTGGAATTATCTGCTGCATCGTGAGTGTTCAACTCTGCGGTTGTCCTTTTCGCGGAAGCAGCGTTGCCGCTTTTGAGGCCAAGGCCAAAGTGGGAAGGGGCCGCTGAGACGATCGCGGCCGAGAGAGTAGCCACGAAAAGGGAGAAGAGCGTTCTGTACTTCATGATGAGCTGGACTTTTGCTGTAAAGCGGGAAGATGGTGATAGTCAACTGTGGGCTGATGTAGTGAGGCTTGATGGGATTTATGGCCGTATTATCCGATGTTTGATCATCCAAATGGCTGCGTGGCATAGGAAGAATGGAAGATAGAAGGACAGCAAAAACGGGAAGAAAGGAAGGAATGATAAAGACGGGTTGTGCAACCCGAAGTGGGGGGTTCAATCCAAATCTTATAGCAGGAAAGAGCCTTCCAACTTCCAACTTCCAAGTCGGACGAGTCGGACTGGATGTTCCCAACTGAGGCAAACTCCATGAACCATAGTTGCACGATGCACTTCTGTCACAAAGCATGAATCAACGGTACTTCATGTCTGCGAATGTCTGGCACAGCTACCGCTTGAGCCTCAAAAGAGAGTGCTACCTCGGTGATCCCAGTGCCATGGATTTGAGGTTTGCGTCGCAACTCTCACACAGTTGACGACAACATTTTCGCAACACCATCTCCCTTACCAACTGAAATTTGGTTCGCGTTGCCCTATGGGGATGAAAAGTGAACCGTCCTTTTGGGATACGTGTAACTGAAGCCACTTGGGACCTGTGGTTGCTCTGAGCCTGGTACTTCTTCCCGTCTTTACGTTGGTGTTGCACAAGATCGGGAGCTGGTGTGATGATGGCGGAATGATGCGGCCGAGAGCGGGAACGGCTGGAACGGTTGACTCGGGCCCAGACCGTTGGTGGTTATCGGCCCTTGTATGGGTATGTGGTAGGGTGACCGATGTCTTACACCAGACACACACAGAAGAACCATGGCAAAGGTACCGGAGTAGATGTACCTCTATCCGTAGAGGTAGTATTTGATGGAACAGATTCCTTGATATTTCCGTTATAAGAGCCAACTGCGGACTCCGCTATGGATCCTTGCAACTTCCATCCCCACCAATTTTTTGAGTCCTCTCTACATCCTTTAGGGCGTTCCTGCCTAGGTATGAACGCTGCTTGGCCTTGCCGACGGAGAGCGTCATCACGGGATGACATGGAGGTTGCTCCCAGCCAAGCCACACACCCCAAACCTGAACAGATCCTTATCCTTCACGAACCGCTCCGCATAAGCGGCCTTCATCTCATCAACATCCCAATGAGCCCAAACAAAGCGGCCATGGATGAACCTCGCTTCCTTGGTGGTCGCCCAGACGGCGAAGTCAGCTGGCAACGAGACTGTATTCGTCGTTTGTCAGAACAGTTTTCTCTACGCAAAGCCAGGGGATGATTGTAAAAGGGACTCACTATCATCAAACGCCAGGGCACTCTTCTCCACACCGAGACCGTACTCCCACAATTCCGAGTAGATCGTTCCGGGGTGGAAGTTGACCACCTGGAACTTCTCCGGGTCGGACTGCTGGGCGATGTACCCAAAGAAAAGACCGGCAGTGGCCTTGGTGAAGCCGTACTCTGCCGCGGCGGCCAGGGCGGGCGAGTACTCGGGGTGGCTCATGTTGCAAGACGCGGTGGAGATGTTGAGGAGGAACTGTTTGTTTCTTTTGTTAGCCTCTTGCCCAGAACACATCTCAGTCACACAAACAAACTGACCTTCTGTCTGTCCTTCCCCTGCTTCATATAAATCTCCGTATGCCTCATCGGCGCCCGGAGGTTCGCTTCAAGCTTTTCCCAAATTTCCATTGTCGTCCTCCCGCCCTCCTCACACAAGCCCCCCATTGCCATCTCCCCCACAGCGTTCAAAACGAGCACATCCACCACCACTCCTTCGTCTGCCAGCTTCTTCCAGAAGGCATCAATCTCCTCCATCTTGGTCGCGTCAAACTTCTCGCCCACCACTTCCGTCTGTTCGTTGTTAATCTCTTTGGCGTGCTGACGGAGATCATCAACCGCTTTGTCAATCCTTTCTTGCCTCCGACCTGTGATGATAACCTTCGAAGCAGAAGCGGTGACGAAGGACTTGGCCATTGCAAAACCGATGCCTGCTGTGGAGCCCGTGATGAGAACAGTCCTTCCCGCCTGGGAGATCCGGGGGTTCAGGGTGGGGTTGATGGCTGGGTAGGAGGAGGTGTGCATGGTGGGAGTGACATTGGAGACGGTAAAGTCGGAATTGGGAGTGTTCCATGGGAGGCCGAGGATGAGGGGGATCTCGCCGGTATTGGCGGAGCCGTTAGTGGTTGAAAAGGACATGGCCGCGGTTCCTCGGGTGGTAATAATGTAGTTAATGCGAGTGAAAGTGGTTTGGTCGCGGGGGAAATACTGCCTTAATAAATGATTTCATGCTCGAGTACGGTACCGGACACATGCGCAACACCTGACGTCGTTACGTAGCTGCCGGTAGGAAGGGGCCTAGTTGCCAACTCATCGTACTAGAGTTCTCAATAAAACTTCCCTACTGTGCAAGGCCCGCCTGGAAGCTCCGATTGTGGATTGCGGTTTCATCGCTCCAACGAGATCTTCATCAACACCCACTCCAACGCCATAACCTGAGTTCGCTTGGTCTCCAATGCCCACGTCGGAAGGACCTAGATCCAACTTGCGTATACCAGTGCAAACATCAGTAAACTTCCTCCCTTGCCTCCCAACCCTTTTGCACAACCATCCATGGCTTCCGCTACTCCGGCCACAAGGATATCTTCGGCTCTAGTGTAAAGTTCGCTAACTTAGCTCTCCTCTCGTCCAAAGAACCATTGCATGCTGGCAGCGGTATTGAGCCCACTACCGTATGCTTGTGGATCCCCTACAGTCGGGAACAGGAAATTTGCTTCATGTTGCGGTCCAAAGTTGGGAAAAGGACGGTTGTTGAAAACTTGAGTGTCAATCGAGTGAGACCGTGAGACGGCCGCTGGTAGGATCGTAAGAGTCCAAGCATGGTAGGGGCGTGGCCCGTTGATATCTCCCGTCAGTTGGTCACGTGGAGGGTGTAACCGGAGGATGACATGGAAGTGCAGAGGAGGTACATGTATCCGCCTGAGATGATCCCGGAGGAATTCGAAGGGGAGGAGTGTAGTGGTTGCCTATTGGTTCCGGGGCAGGCAGCTTCAGGACCTAGTAGGTAGAGGTAGTTGTAGGCATCGTTGCACCAGAGAAGTGAGGACGTTAATGTTGTCGAATCGATCTGGACGATCTGTCGTGTGCGTAAGGCGTTTGGAATGCCCGGTAATGCTCCACGGGTTCTTTCTCCCGGAAGCCCGAGAGCAAGGACATCCGACTCCCCGGCACCGCCATTCATACCTAACCGGCTCCCCCTTCGTTATCTTATGCCAGGTAAAGCTATCAGCCGCGCAGTAAAGGAGGTTGATATTGCCGACACCATAATTCGTGCCCTGACGATGACCTTTGAATCCCTCGTCTCCGGACGCGGACTGTGTTCGGCATGCATCTTGTGCCCTGTAGTTGCGCGGAACCCCATACCTAAGGTAGTAAGCCAGAAATTGGGATGTCCGCAGTCGTAGATGTAGGCTCCTAGCGGAGGGGATATTGAGATCGAACCAAGCCCGGTCCGGACTCCAGAGCCGGTACGGCGCCCAGGTGGTGTAGCGGTTGAGCTGCGCGGGGAATCCGTGCCGTTGGTGCCCGGCCAGGTGTCGTACTCGTCCTCGACCTGGACCATGACCACCGGTCCGCCGACCGCCGCGTGTGATTTGTGCGTGGGCGGATGATCTTGCCTACTTTGTGTGTCTAAGTCTCGATAGACTCCGACCATTCCCTCCCATTTCCTCGAGGAGGGTCTTTGGGTCTCGATGTCCACCCCGGAAGTCCTCTGGCTGTTACTTCGGGGTTGACGTCAATCCGGACGCGGCTGGGCAATGAGGTAGATGCGAGGCCGGCTGCGGAGGCGGCGCGGAATAACTCGTCTAGGCAAAAAGACACCATCGAGGCGGACTTCACCCCTTTTGCCTTTCACTGGACCCTAGTAACGTAGAAGGAAACGGCGTTGAAGCCCATGGCTTTGATGCATTGGAAGACGTTGAGCCATAGTCCGGGGCTAAGGAGGCGCCAGGGATGAAATTGTCCGGAGAAAGAGGAGGATGCGTTCGTTCCGGATGATATGGGGGAGTATTTGTCCCATTGGATCTGTTGTCACACGGACATATGCCACACTCCTGGTGTCATACGAGAAAGACCTACATGTATGCAGATCGCTAGATGCCTTGGAGCCTCAGGTGACAAGGACCCGTACGTACTAGATAGGTACCGTTTCCCTTTGGCATAAGAAGGCCTTGAAGCCCAGCCTTCCTCTAGAGGTTGAAAGGACCAACAAGGCCTTCGAGACCAAAGTAGTTTATCAGCGGAATTGAACTACTGTTCCAAGCCCAGAACTCTGCCCTTGTCACATCTGTATAGATGTCAGATTCGGTTTTGTTCAATGACTGGACTTTACATACAAGATCCTAGGTTGAACTCTTCACATCCCGGCCTGCGATATTCCCATCTCCGTTTGTCAACAAGGCAATGGACAGGCTTGAAAGAGCCAAGCCAGCAAGAAGCAACAGATCCAAATCCATGAGGTATCGAGGACCCTCAAGCTCATCGCAAATTGCGATTGCCGACCGACCAACCGACCTGGACCGGGTTGTTCCCGTTCCCGCTTGAGATTCCGATATGCGCGCGTGCCGGTGCCGTTCCGTTCGGGGTAAAGGAACTATCCGCCGCTAGTCGCGAGATGCCCGAAACTCCACTTGGTATACTTTTGGAGCGGGACGACGAGCGACGGGGATGTTAAGGCTTGAGCAGAGACTGAATGGATGTTGCTTGGCTTTTTCGGAGTTATACTTGGCTCCGGAGTTGGGGATTGTCATTTTCTTTTCTTGTCGGACGCCAACGGGCTTTGAGTAAACCCATCCTGCCATCGTGATATAAATCACATCCTTTCTTTCGTCTTCGAGTCTCATGTTTTTCACCCAATTTGGCGATCTTCATGTTTTCCTTTTCACATCACCTCGAGCTGTATGTTCGGTGTTGTTGATTGAGTTGAATCCCGAATGATCATCGCCATTTCCAGTATTGCGTCGTGGCGAAAGAAGCTCCATTGAAGTCCATTGGAGGAAAGTGGAAACAGCCCGCTAAAATCCTGAATAAGAGATGTCCCCTCTCCCCCATCGGTTCGGGACCGGGACGGCATCACCCGTTCACACACGTTCTTTTTTCTAGTGTAGTGTACCGCTCCCAAGGTCCAAACTTCTAGCTGCGCATCCCTTCCCCATGACTCCCATAAGAACTTCTCTCGTCACTCTCTCGTCAGAGTTCGTCACCTCATCTCAATCACCGGCGACCGGTGACCGGTGACAGGTCAGTCGGCGCCTTCTCAGAACATGGGCAACCCAAGAACGGTGGACATCATGAACTTAATCAAATCCAATGTTGTTCCCCGCACGATTTACCCTGGCTTGGCCCTTGATGCACCTGAATGCACCGTTCGATTTCCGCATGAGATTATCGCTACCGTCACACAAACTTTTTGATAGTTGAACGCGCTAATGCGACCTTGTGGACTTGTGGTGATCTGCTACCCTTTTTGGGGGTTCGGTGTTCTGGGCGTTTTTGTTTGGTGAAGGCCGTTGTTTTTAACGGGATTGCCTGCCCTGTGGTAGGATTTTGAGGAGCCCTGGGGGTTGCACCCGGGCTCGGCAGCGATACACTGGGCGGGTGCACTGTAGAGAATGTGAGAGGGCATGTGTGAACGAGGACAAACTGCCGCATGGGGCTTAACGACAACCAAGACGACGACATATTTCATGATCGATCATGTTTTGAGGGCTTGGAGCTTTCACTGCGGACGAAATGACAGTGGCTGGCAGGGATTTGGAATCTTCGATAAACAACGCATGCCCATCACTTAGAGCCCAAAGCCCCCCGCGGAAGTCTCCATCTCTTCAGGTTTGCTGCTGTTGCGAGTTGCGACGGGAGAAAAAGGGGGAAGCATAACAAAGGCCAAAACACCAAAACACAGGTGCAAAGTGCAGCAAAACAAAAAGGAGTGTAAAAACATCGCAATAATGAGAGGTATATCCAAGCACAACCGTAGAAGAAAAACCCCCATCAACCCATCTCTTTCCTGTGCACTGCCCATTGCGAATTAGCAATTACATCCATTCCCATCCGTTCCATTCCCAATTCTGTCCCTCAGAACATCCACATCATCCACCGCTCACCTCATCACGCACCACCTTCCCTCTATCCCAAACTCAGTTACCCTTCTCACCACTTCCCTTTCCACGCCCAGCAATCCCCACCTTGCCCGCAACAAACTCCAAAAACCCCTCCAAATCATCCAAAAACGCCCTCGGCTCCTGCATCGCAGCAAAGTGTCCACCAACCTCATGTTCCTTATACCACACCATTCTCTCCCCAAACAACTTCTTCCCCCACGTCCTGGGCAACGTGCCAATCTCCACCGGGAAAGCCGCATACCCAAACGGCTTTTGAGCGGCCGGATCCTCCTGTACAACAGCCGTGGCGCCAATCTCCGGCACCAAGCTGCGATAAGACCACATTGTCCTACCGAAACACCCGAAAACCAATACAGCGACACGCCATTGAGGATTTTATCCAGTGACAGCGGCTCGGAGCCTTGAGGGCGGTTATCGCTCCACTCGATGAACTTCTCTCCCATCCACGCTAGCATTGACACTGGATTACTCATGAGAGTAAGAGCAATAGTCGAAGGCCGAGTTCCATGCTCGTAAGCATATGCGCTGCCCTGCTTAATCCACGCAGTCGTGCCCGCCATCAGGCGTTCCTCGCGCTCGGAAAGCGGTTCCTCCTGACACGCAGCGAACTGCTCCGGTGTGAACATGAACATGTTCAGATGCGAAGTCTTGCACGCCGGAAAGTTATTAGCCATTGTGCGGGCAAGGGCGTAGCCTACGTCGCCTCCCTGAGCGACGTAACCTGTGTTTTCGTCGAAGCCGAGGGAGAGCATGAGTTCGTTCATGGCCTCGGCTGCGAACTCGGTTGTGAGTTCTTCCAGGCTGGAGTCGTGCGGGCGCGTGGAGAAGCCGTAGTCCGGGATGGAAGGGACGATGACGTGGTAAGGAAGCGTTTCGGGGGTGTAGCGAGACCGCAAAATGTCGAGCATGGGGATGAATTCCAAAAAGGAGCCGGGCCAGCCGTGCATGAAGATCACGGGGATGGCATCTTCCCTGCGAGAAAAGAGGGCGGCGAAGTGCAGGTCGAAGGTTTGGTTGGAGGTGGGGCCGACGACGGTTTGCTTGTATTGCGGGAACGAGTTGATGAAGGCTTCTTGGACGCGCCAGTCGTACTTGTTGAGCCAGTAGTCGCGGGCGTTGACGAGCCACTCGCGCGTGATGCCGAACTTGCCTGTTTCGGCATTTGCGTGCTTGTTGTAGAATTGCTCGGGGGGGATTACGGCGTGCTGGATCAGGGAGCGGAGCTGGGAGAGGTCCGAGTCGGAGACGTCGATGCGGAAGGGGGTTGGGGGCACCTTGACGCCTGAGGGCAGGGTGGAGAAGATGTGGGAGACTGAGCCCATTGTTGTATTATGTGAGTTGTTGATTACCCGAAGTGGGAGAAAGTAAACAGAGGTGTGGTGTTGCTGTAAGACGACGGTATGTCGTTGATGCCGATGAGTGATGACTGACAGAAAGCTGGGATAATCCAGGGACGAACGAAGGAACCGATAAAAAGCAGTGGAAAAAAAAGTGTCTGATGTCGTTTATATCGTAGTTTCCGCTCCCGATGGTGGAGATAGAGACCGGGAGAGACTAGTTTCCCTTGTGGATAAACGTCTCTATAATGGAGAACTGGAAAAGCTTATGAATCCCGCTCAGTGGCTCTCTCCGAAAAAGGTGCAGCGTCGATGGGGTGAGAAGAAGGAGTGGGTTTTGACTTTTCGAGTTTAATGCTATCACCGGAGGTCCACGAGGGGGGGATCCATCTCCGGAGGTGATTGTCCTGTCCATGTCCATCACTTCTTGTGTCTGGAAAGAGGTGTGGTGTGTCTGCTCGTCGCCATGGATCATGGTGTCCGCACGATACCCCCATGTCTTGTTGGGGTCTTGGGGTTGTATGCCGGACCATTCAGATCCCCGACTTCGACCAGAACGCATGGTTGTTCAAAAGGTGTGTAGGGGTGGAGATATGCGCGCGGTGGACAGTGGATAGTGTAAGTGGACAAATGGTCGATCCATATTTTTTTGGTTCGTTCCCCACGTTTGCCACCATGAACTCGCATTGGTTGCCTTTGGCCCAGTCCCTTTTGGTGGATATTACCACTCGGCGACGACGCCGGTCAAACCACAAAGGATTGATAGCTTCCATCCTTCTGGATAGTGTAGAAGTACCGCTTCCACCATCCGCTTTTTGTGCGCGCAGTCGGCTCTCTGACTCTCACCAATCTTTTCCTCTCACTGGCTCGTCCTGAATGCCTGCCCCTACCCTATCCTACTACGCCTACCAACCCGACCCGACCCGTTGTTGTAAGTGTAGACTTATAAGATAGGCCCACCTCAGTTCCCAGCCAAAACCTCAACTTAGTGAACTCACGGGACCGTCGACAAGGAAGGCTCATAGGAATGGAGACCCTAGCTGCATGGACCCAAGCAAGTTCCCAAGTTCCCAACTGCCGTTGCCGTTGGGTCGTGGAACTCTATTTGTCATTCACTCGCTCGTGGGTCTGCAGGATATAGGCAAGTACCAGAGATACTCCAATACAACGAGAACCGAGAATCTTTTTTTTTTGTTGCTGCCCTCTGCTGCCATGATATTCCAATGGACCGCAAGACCGGAGTTAATCCCGACGTGAGATTCCGCGCCTTCCGAAGAACAGAGATTGGACAATTGGTATTGAGTGTGTGTGTGTGTGCCATCCAGTCGAGTCGACGAAAAGGCGGTCGATAAGACAGACTACCTATCTTTTGAGACGACGAGCGGATGGCGGACAAGGCGGGATTGTCGATCCTTCACAAGTCCGCAGTCTATGTACGGTCTACACTCGATACCGTACCATCAAAAAAGGGACAGAGATGACGTGTCACTTGAAAGACTCGAACCCTCCAACCATGGCATGCTAAGAAGCTTTTTTTTTTTTTAAAAAAAAACAAAAAAAAACAATAGTGGTGAGTGATATAGGATACTTGGGTCTTAGATGCGTTTGAAGTGGGCCAGAGCAGATGATTGCCCAGCACAAGCGACTACGCATGGCATGCCATTACCCCCGTTGTCAATCCCAACAAAGGATAAAGGATCATATGTCGGGTCCCATGATGATAAGGGAACAGTACCTACCAGTAGCCTGCGCGTGTCAAATGTCAAAACACGAGGTCAGGTGCCAACTGCCAAGTGTGCAGCTCGCTTCACTTGCCTTGAGCGCATTCAGTCGAAGCCGCAGTTACAGCTGTGCGAGAAAGTGCGAGAAGTGTGCGAAGGGGCGGGTTCGGTGAGCTGGCTGCTGACTGTTGGCTGCTGGCTGCTGCGGCTGTAGTGTACACTAGGCACAGTGGTTTTGGAAGCATGACGTCGGATTCATTTCTCCTGACTGCTAAGAGTCTAGTGAATGAAAAATGGTAATGATTGGCCTGTCATGTCATCGTTTCAACGGTCAAGCTGTGTTGTAGTGTAGTGTAACATCAAAACCGGCACTTCCGCCGGACCAACCAACTACCAACAAGCCTTTATGAGCCAATAAGCGCCGACAATTGATTGTCGCTCTTTTGTTGTGTAACAGTAACAGTTGTATTCTCTCGACTGCCGCGCAACCTTTGCGTCCCTTGTAGCAGTTGCGATTCAAAGGCGTTGAAGACCGCTGGATATCCAATAAAAGGTCAAAGTGTTACAAATCCAATGCGTGAGGCGTAACCGATATTGTGAATACCGTCGGCCGATATGACATGCTCAGGTTGACAAAATGTGCATACGCCAAATCGGATACCGCAAAACCTTGCTTTGCACATCGACGTCGGCCCATGGTAGCTTCAATTGCGGTCTGAGAGTGCGGCAGCAACCGCATACCGCTCAACTCAACGGCGCGCGCTGGAATTCCGCCATGGAGCCCTTCGGATCGTCCCCATCGTGTTGGATTGACAAGCATTGGCGAGTTAGAGCGGCCAACGCGGAAGCGGAGTTGAGTGGGGTAGTAGGTATGTACTACGGGAGACGTGGACAAGGGCGCCGTCGTTGGCAAAGCCATTCTGTAGGTCGACTTAGCGGCAACAGGCAGAACGGGAAAACGACCCTGATTCTTCTCCTAATCGCTATAATCGGACAAGCTTGTGGGAAGGGGGGGCGCCGAGAAGGTTACCAAAACCGGCGCTAGTTCCGGAGACCAACAGGCCCTAGATCTACGGCACCCACGGGTAGCAAGAGCTAGCTACGGCAAAGGGACAACAGGACCCTCGATCTTTTCACCTGTCGGGGCAGTCTCGGCGATAGCAAGGGGATCATCCTAGTGTAAAGGGCGGCGTTGTCTCCGGGATCAAACACCCTACCATAGGCGGGAACTACTAGTCAACCCGTGGACGATGGAGACTGGTAAACAGTTCAACGGCGCGTATGTATTGGGTATATGATGTGTGTAAATAGTATGTTCATGTCCAGCCAGCCACCTGTTTAGCTCTGCTGGATGATCTTCTCCATCTCTTCGGGGTCCTTGGGCGCTGTCGTGAGGTTGTAGGTGCCGTCCTTGGTGATGACGAGGTTGTCTTCGATTCTGCGAAGCGACAACAGATTAGCATTCGACCTTTCCATACAGACGGACTACCACAGTCGACATACCTAACACCTCCAACATCCCAGTACTTCTCTAGCACATCGGCGTTGATGTACTTGCTGTGCTTGGGATCCTTCAGGAACGGCTCGATGATGAAGTTGCAGAAGTAGATACCAGGCTCAACGGTAATGACGCTGCCGGCGGGAAGACGGCCGCGAACGCGAAGGTAGCGGAACATGGTGTCCTTATCGGCGTAGTTGGGGTTGCCGCCGGTGTCGTGGGTGTCCATACCGAGGTAATGGCCAAGACCGTGAGGGAAGAAAGCAACGCTCGTCCTGCTCTCGAGAATCTCGTCCTTGTCGCCCTGGAGAATGCCGATCTGGAGAAGGCCATCAATGGCGATCTTGTGAGCGAGGAGATGGACGTCATCCCAGAGGACACCCTCCTTGAGCGCAGCGATACAGTCGTTCTGCATCTTCAAGACGATATCGTAAACCTCCCTGCTCTCCTTGGTGAACTTGCCATTGATGGGGAAGGTACGGGTGATATCCGAAGCATAGCAATCCCACTCGCCTCCGGCGTCAAGCAGAAGGTTGAGCTTGCCAGCCATGTCGGCGTTGTTGGGAACGTAGTGGAGCGTGGCAGCCGCCCTACCGCTGGCCACGATGCTGTGGTAGGCCTGGTTGCGGGAGCCCTTGGCGATGCAGTGTCCGAGGAAGACGGCCTCCAACTCGCGCTCGTTCTGGACGTGCTTGACTTTTTGCATGACGGCCTTGTGTCCGTCGGAGCTGATCTCGTTGGCCTTGGCCATGATGGCCAGCTCGTATTCGTCCTTGACAACGCGGGTGACTTCGATGGCCTCTTTGAGGATGGAGAAGTTCTTGTTGTCGAACTCGAGGAAGGTGATCTTGTCCGAGACCTGGTTGGGGATGGCGAAGACGGACGCGCCCTTGGGCTTCTCGCTGCCGACGTGGGCGAGGGTGGCGTTGACATCGCTGGTGTACTTGACCTCATCGACATCCCAGTTCTGCTTGGCCTCGTCGGCGGAGACGGGCAGGCCGGACCAGATGACCGACTCGGGGTCGATGGGAGGGATGAAGAGGGTGGACTTGTCGGCGTCAATGTCGTACATGTAGTGGCAGTCGGCGAGCGGGCAGCCGGTCAGGTAGTAGAAGTAGCGGCGCTGGCGGAAGGGCTCGGCCTCGTCGTTGTCTTCGAGCAGCTTGGTGGCGCGGCCCTCGAGATAGAGGACTCCCGATGCGCCGGGGACCTTGTTGCGGATGTAGTCGGCGACGCGCTGGGCATGGCGCTTGGCCGGGTATTTGCCCTTGAGGGTGGTCTCGTAATCCATTCTGGTGGTGGTGGTCATCGTTCGATACTGGATTGTTGAGGATCTCGCGATGGTGGTGGTGATCCTTGGGAAGATGGTGTTGAGGGAAGAGAAAAGACTTCGCATAGGGAAGGAAAACCAAAGAATTACAGCACAGACAACGGGAACTGTCTGATACTGACAAAAGTTACTGTAATCTTGTTGAAAGAGGGGCAGTAACAGAAGGGAGAAGCAAAAAACGGGAAGGCAGAAGGCAGAAGGCGCCTTGCTTCGGGATTGAAGCTTCTTTCTGCCAATGCTCCTTCCCGCTCCCACGCGGACAATGCGGGGCAATGACAGCTTCTTGGCGGGGTCGTTATCAATCTCTTATCGCCAAGCTAGTCCCTGATTGGCAACTGATGCGCCAACCCCACATCTGTCACGGCATGCAGCGGCACGAGACGGATCTCGGCACAGCCTGGTCCACTCTTCAATTTCCCTCCAGCAACGAATGTGTCAAACAAAACAAAAACAACAAACTGGATATTGCATCCTGCTACCGGACTATATACTAACGAGCAAAACATTCGCAACTGGGTATCCAACCATTCGTCCCCTCCAAACATTACGACGACGACATCAACAAAACCATGACTCTCCCAAGTCCATTTAACCCTGCTGCCAAAACACAGTCTTGGTGTCCTCCACACTCACACGATCCAGCTCAATCATCTCCTCCTCAGACAACCTCCACCCCAGCGCATCAATCGCCTGCCTGGCCTGCTCCGGATTGCGAATGCCCACAACAGGCAACGCTCCCTTGCTAATATTATAGTTCAGCGCCACGCTAGCCCTGGCCTTGCCCCTGGCCTTTGCAATCTTCTCCAGCACGGCCAACGTCTCCTGGATGTCCTCCATGGGGTAGCTCGAGAACCGGTACGTCTTGGGCGGCGGGTTTTCCACCGTGTACTTGCCCGTCAGCCGGCCGTTGGCGATGGCCGAGTATCCCTGGAAGTCCATGCCGTTGACGGTGCACGCCTTGATCTCGCCCTGCACCTCGGGCCACCGGCGCAGGATGCTGAACTCGACCTGGTTCGTCGCCAGCGGGATGCCGTGCTCGGCCAGCGCCGCCTTCATCTCCAGCACCTTTTCGTTGGGGTAGTTGGCCACGCCGACGGTGCGCGTCAGTCCCTCCTTGGCGCACTTGGCTAGCCCTTCGGCGACTGCCTTGATGCTCTGCGGGTGTGTCGGGCCGTGCACGAGGTAGATGTCGACGTAATCGAGCTCGAGTCTCTCCAAGCTGGACTTGAGCGTCTTGTAGGGCGCGTCGCTGGGATGCACATAGTTCTTGACGTCCATGGCCCTGCCGAGCCACTTGGTCTGGATCACGTAGCTGTCTCGAGGCAGACCCTTGACCAGCTTGCCGATTCGCCGTTCGGATTCGCCGTTCGGATTCGCCGTTGCCGTAGGCCTGGGCCGTGTCGATAAAGTTGATGCCGGCGTCGTAGAGCTCGCGTCAGGCGGCTTGCACGGCCGGCCACTCTTCCTCCCTGTAGCCCCACGTGCCCTTGTCGCCCCAGGGCCAGCCGCCAATGCAGATGTAGGACGCGTCGACCTTGCCGTTGAGGGCGGGGAAGGAGATTCAGTCTCGGGCAGTGGGGCAGAAGGTGGGAGGCAGGATGTTTTGCCCGTCGAATTCGCGCGGGACGGGTTTGGGCTTGCCCGTGTGGAAACCCGAGGTTGTGGACATGCCTAGCGAGAGGCCGGTTTGGAGGATCTTGTCCATGGTGGCGGTGTTTTTGGTATTCTTATGATAGGTGATATCGGTTGTTCCCTTGGTAGGTCTTGTGGTGGTGATGACTGTCAGTGACAAGAGGTAGCCAAGGTACCTTAAGTACCGTGGTGATGCTCTCGAATGGGCGTTATAAAGGGTCTTATAGCACTGGGTGGTACTGTCACCTCCATGACCCTGATGTCAACAAACTATGACGGCTGAGACTCTGTCCTGGGATCGTTGTTGCCCCTAATCCTTGGAACATACGGGTCGTCCTTTGGACCAATCATGCCTTTGACTGTTTCCCGTTTAGGCAGTTTTGCTCTGGTTAGTTGCCTTCAAGCGCTGACAAGCTTCCGAGTCGTCAAGTCACCCTCCCCCCCCCGACTTGTCTCGCAATCTCCATTGCTGTATGCTTTTTCAGAAACAGCATTCCGAAATCCGATCAGACACTCTTCCCGAGACTGGAATACCTCTACGCAGAATATGTATCAGCACAACCAAGAAGCGCCGGTCCTGATTCCGGCCAATCACATCCCACCGCTTATTTTCATGAGTTCACTCACACGATTGCACTAACTGTTTCGCGCCTTTGATCACACCCAAACACGTTAGTCGTATGTATCTCGGCTACACACGACGTGTTCTTACTTCGCTTAACGTCACCTGAACCAAGTCAAGTCCTTCTTTAAATCTTCTTCCACGGCATTGTCAATCTCCAGCAAAGCCACCTCATCCATCCTTTCTACTCCCATACCCATTACGCGAGGTTAGCAACCACCGCGCCGCCGTCATCCATCTTCCTCTTACGCCGACCCAACGCGATGACCACTCAACAAAGGCCAAACCTCACCACATTTTATACCATAACCTTTATAAATCAATCACTTAAATTCCAAGCAACGACCGACAATATCACTCCTCAGAATCCTCCACCGTCCCTTCACGCGTATCTTCTTCACAACAGCGGGGTACACCGGTGTCGCCTTCGCCCTCCTCTCTATGACCCTCTTTACAGTCGTAGAACAGGTGGAGAGGTTGAAACGTAGTAGACAGTGGTGAGCCGGTTTTTAATAGGGTCCCGGTTCTTGGTCGCGTATATCGGAGTCGGCAGTATGAGCAAGTTGCGGGTTGGGTAAAGTGGGTGAGAGAGAATTCAATTAGGAAGGGAGATGGTGGAGGTTTGAGGGGAGGAAGGGGTGGTCGGTTGTTGATTTAGGAGATAGAGATGTAAGGACACTGGGGTCAAGCGAGGGAAAGGGGTCCATATATGTATGCCATCATGCCATCATGCCTGCATGACCGACCCTTTCGTGTGTTTTGGAGGAGACCGGGGAGGAAGAAGAAAAGTGAGAAGAAAGATGCGGAAGTCGGAGTGGATAGAAAAGATTTGATGGAAGGGGTGACAAGGTGAGAGGGCAGAGGAGGAGAGACGTTGGACTTTCTCAATGGGTGCGCGCAACTTTCCACGGCTGGTATTTCTTGCTTCTGTGGCTTGGAGGCTGCAGTTCTGTGTTGGAGGTAACGGAATGAT